AGGTGGCCTGGTCTTTTCTCCTTGTAAACATGCTAATAATTTACTGTTTTAGTGAATACAGACTAATGTTTGTTATGAGGAGAGTCCTCATCCACAGAACTCTTTGAGCAGAATGACTGGTTTGGCATCACTTATGGTAAACAAACCTCTGTGGACATGTGAGGCATGTTTCTCTGAAGAATATTACATAAGCAATACTACTCTCTGGCTCATCAAATGGGACGTGTTATGTAATGCTCACCAATGTCTGGGGTAACCTATATGCCTCACATAGAGACCTCACCTACCCTGGACCAGAGAGTGCTGTCCAGTGAGAGTAAAGGACTTGGGAAGACTTCCCAGGCTGTCCCAGGCCTCTCCCTGTTTTATCTATGCCTCTTGATTGCTTGTACCCTTGAAATTATTAGTAAAGTTATTTATTATCAGTAAAGTCTCTTTTTTAATTGTTTTTTTAAGTTACAGTTGACATTCAATATTATTTTATATTAGTTTCAAATGTACAGCATAGCAATTAGACATTTATATGCAATACTTTAGGCAGTAGAATCTCTTAATTGAGTCTAACTTGAGAGTCCAAGCCTGTGTTGGCTCACTGCCTCTCTCCAATTTCTCTTTGAAATTCTACCTGTATTTCAAGGCCTAGCTGAGAAATCTCACTGAAACCTTCTAAACCTATTGTAGCCTATAGGGATCCTTCATTTTTCCAAACTCATGTTAGACTTTATCGTCTACTTGAATTGCCTGTGGCAGTTTTTAGATTGTTGACTAAGTTCATCCTCATTTAACTTCGAAAAGTTGCTTAACTTTTTAATACTTATGGTTTTACTGCTCAGGTAGCCTCTTAGCTTCAGAACTGGGACCTTAAGCTTCAGAACTGGGACCGTGTTCACGGCTGTAGCTAGCAAACATCCTTATATATTGTAGTCCCTCAAATATTGTTCATTTACTTTTAGATTAGAAAATGAAGATCAAAAAGCATAGCATTTGAGTGCTTGGGCTCATTCTTTTATAGTATATAACATATAAATAATATGTTTGCATCATATTGATAGTTGAAGAAAAAAATCTAATAATAAATGGAACTGTTCTGAGAAAGTTCTTTTAAATTTGTGTCAGACATTATTAGTTGTACTTTCCATATTATTATAAGTGTACTCTTAGTCATAGCAATATTGTTTGTTTATCTTCTAGAGGGACAGCTAAGACACATAAAAACTGGGGAACCGTTTGTTTTTAACTACCGGGAAGACTTGCACAGATGGAACCAGAAAAGATACGAAGCTCTAGGAGAGGTATGTCATATATACAAATTCAACCTTGTTTTTCCAATTTGAAATAGTCCAAATGAAAGTTTAAAAGTTGAAGCAGTTCATGACTCTTTCTACAAAAAGTGGATTTAAAGAGGTTCTTTTTTTTTTTAATGGTCATGTTAGAAACATATTTCAGTTCAAAATTATACTTTTATGCAAACATAGTCTTCCCATGATCTTAATATTTCGTAGTGAGTCGTTAGA